GTGAGAAATTAAAAAAAAAATACTGCTGCAGCTGCAGCCTCATGAGCTCACTGGTGGCATGGCAGCAGCTGAAAATCACCACTGTCCCTGTGTCGCAGCTGTCCTGGGTGCCCAACTGCATTGTTATGCCTCTGGGTGGAATAGGCGTACAGAGTAACATGGGTCATTTGGTAAACTGAGCCCATTCAAATGCGTGTTTAATACAGATAAAGGCAAAGTGAGGTGAGTAAAAACAAAGAATGCAATCCATGCTTGTAGAATGGGGGGCTGTATTCTAGAGAGATGTTACTTAGGAAAACATGTAGAGGTTATAATGAACAAATAACTCTCAGATGATGCTGTGATAAAAAGGAACTAATGTGATTTTTGTATACATAGAGTAGTGAACATAACTAAGAACCAGGTGATTTTACCTTGCTCATACAGCAGTGATGAGACTGATCAAGAGATATGAATGTTTATTTCTAGCCCATACATTTGTAAAAGAAGATGAAAAACTGGAGAGAGCACGAAGCCACAGACATTATTCAAATGCTGGAGAAAATGTTTCACATTGGGAAAGTTAGAAGCTGATATATTTAGCTTATCAAAAAACGGTATTTGAGAATTGACTTAATTTGGGGGTGAAAAGACCTAAAAACTAAACAGCACTTCAATCTAATGGTGAAAAGCATAACATGGATCATTAGCTAATGTCAAAACCAGACCAAATCAAGATAGAAACAAGACACGCACGCGCGCGCGCGCGCACACACACACACACACACACACACACACACTTATTTATTTGTTTATTTATTTAAACAATGATGATTAATCATTGAAATGAACCAACATGGCAAGTGGTGGATTCTCCATTTCTTAATGCTTTTTTGGTCAAGACTGGATGCCTTTCTGGGATCTATTCTATTCTATTCTATGTAAGTTCACACTCACCACCATTGGGTCTGTCAACACTTTGGTCAGTTTTATTTGGTCATACCTAAATTAACCCTCAATGTAGGGGTAACTGGGTAAAATTCTGTCACCTGTGTTACACAGGAGATTAGACTGGATAATGTAATAGTTCCTTCTGGCCTTACAATATATTAATCATCATACAGAGATAAAATCCTCTAGAAAGGTCTTTTTTTCTGTCTGTCAGTCTGTCTTATATATTCACTTGAATAGCAGTCCCACAGGGAAATTGAGTATCAAGAAGTAGGCAGAGGTCATCCACTCTTTCTTTTTATGTTCTACTTACAACCAGTTCTTGATCCTGGAAAGATAGGACAGCCTCCTTGCCTTTATTCTTGGCATTGTTGCAGTGCATTTGGTGGAAGGAATGGCAGGTGTTTGCCCGAGAGGGAGGTGGGATGAGGCGCCCAGTTTCTGCTGAGTACTGTGTAGCTCTCCGAAGTTCCTCTGTCTGTTAAAATAGACACATATACTGTTAGATAGAAAGGTTCAGAGTGGGAGAGGGATGCCAGGGAAAAAATTAAACTGAAGATGACAGAGTGCAAAGAGGCTGTGTCTAACAGGCAAATCTTTACAGATGCATGAAAACAGGTGTTTGGCACTGGGTGAAAAAAAGGGAAGGCTCCTTGTGCTGTCAGAGTGCAACCAGTGCAGGGTTTTGAACAGTCACATGTGAGAGGTGCCTTTCTCCAGTTGGGAATGGTGCCCCCAATGTGCAAATATCATTTTTATTTAAAGCTGAAACTTGTAGGCCACCTACTGGTGGCAATTGGAAAAAACAGATAACTGGCTTTTCAAAACTCAAGCACTTTGCATGTCAATCTAGCAGTACCAACATGCAACTTTGATCATTCATTCATGAAAGAAACAGGTCCCAGTACTAAGAAAGAATAATTTAGGGTGCTGAATTTGGTGGTCTTGAATGTGAGTGTGAGAATGATGGTGCACGCTAAAGGTGATTTAGCACAGATAGGCTTGTATAGCAAGCTTCCTATACAGGGTTTTGCAGATGTGCTTCAGTCTTGAACTGCAGTGTTCTCTAGTATTCTAGCCCTGGCTCCCACACACCACTGCCAAAGTCCTTCAGTCCTTACCTGAAACTTTGTCCATCCTTGATCTTCCATACTCCTTAATCCTGGTCTGCAGCATCTTGTAGGTCCTTTGCTTCATTGGAAATTGCACCATTGTATGATTGTTTCATAACATGCATCTATAAAGTTTTTAAATGGGACTACCTAACTTATTCAATTTGTACTCTAAGGCAGATATGAGCCTGTGTCCCAAAAGACTGATTCACTTCTTCCTTTGGTTTAGTCCCCTTATTTTTGTTGATAAGGACACAGATTTCATGTCTTGGATCTAGACTGTCAACACCCCAAAAATGGGCTGAGAGGTTATGATCCAGTATGTTCTACAGGCCAGGGGACATTTATCATCTGGACTCAAACCTTAGATTTGGAATGAAGAAGCCTGTGGCTTGGTTCTTGGCCTTCTGTGTGACTTTCATCCCATTACACATTTTTCCCTTCCTAGATTACATATAAGTAGGCTAAAACTATGTTAAAATATTAAAATTATCTTCAACAACTGAGGTTTTTAAGTGTCCCTTCAAATAATGAAGCTGTCACTGACAAACAGAGGGCAAGAGATATAAAATAGCGATAAAGTAACTGTAAATCACTCTGTTCAGGTTTTGCTGCTCCTTGTTTCTTGACTTCATTCCAGGTGTTGGTTTGATGATTCTCAACAGCCACACAGTTTTAACTCTCACCTTACTTATCACTTCTTTTTTCTCCATTTCTTTGCAGGAGGCGGCACTAACTCTGGCAGCAAGTTCCTTCAGTTCTTCTCGCCATGCTTCTGACAATGAACCTGTGAAGAATACAAAAGGTATGAGAAGGCTCAGTAAAGTGGTGCCATTTGGCTCCTATAGAACTTATCACCCCTATGTATGCCTTAACATAGAAGGTTCTTTTAATTGTTCCCATGGGCATTCAAAGACCTTCCATATTCATTGTGGAAGGTAATTTGAATGATCATATCCTTATGCCAAAGGTTCCGGGAGAGCTTGGATAGAAGTGATAGGAGAAGCAAATACATAGTAGGTTTCACCACTGGATACATTATCAAAGGTTATTATGGGATGCATTATGCAATCTCTTTATGCAGTGATGCTTTCTTTAAAAGGGAAGAGGAAAGTAATGTTCCTAAAGTCCATACCAGGAGCAGCACATAGAAATGTGCGGGGAGAATATGTGAAAGTGACAGAAGCTCCCTAGAGAGAATGTTTCCTAGGCTGAGAAGATCAGGAGGCAAAAGGGGGAAACATCTGTATGGCCTCCACTGTTTAATCCTCCTCATTTGTAGATGGATTCTGGAGGGACAGTCAGCATTGCAGGAGTTCAAGAAGCTACAAATAACAGCATAGAAGTAATTGTGAGTGCTTTTTTTCCCCATGGCTTGCTGCTTATCCTAGGGCCTTGTTACATGTTGCACTTTGAGCTGCTCAGATGTTAAAAGGTGTTAGTACTAGCTTGAGTTTGGAGAAGCGTTGGTGACACATAGGGGGTGCACACCCAGAGATCGGCCAGGCCCCCACTGAGAGAAGTGCCAGTGGCACTTCTGAGTTTGTTACCAGCACTTCTGCCAGTGGTGGCAATCAGCTGCTGGCCACACTCCCTTGCCTGGTAATTGGCTGCTGGGGGACCCCACCACCCCATTATTAGGAGGCACCAGTCACCCATGTGGACAAGTCATACCTTAAGGCTAAAAATCTCTGACTGTCCCCTACTTGCACAGTGGTGACTTGCCACTAGAGGGCTGGTGAGCAGAGGCGTGACTAGGAGCTACAGCTGTGAGCTGCCACTACAGGGCTGGTGAGCCAGGACAGGCTTCTAGTCTTGCTCTGCAGCAGGGAGGTGGGGTAGGGATGAGGGGGGCACATGAACCTGGGAGGTAGAAAGTTAATGGAATCAGGGTGGGCAATGAAATGGGAAGTGGAAAGGAAAAGGGGGTGGGTGAAGGGTAGTGAAATAAAATCAGCCAGCCATTGAAGGATAAAATAAAAAGAAGGAAAAAAAAATAATTTAAAATGAAATAAAGAAGAAGTAAATGAAAGGTCTCATGTTTTAATAAATCAGGATTTGGAATTGGGGTGTGGGGGGGTGCTGGTCATGCTTCCTGGGGTGGCTAGGAGGTGGAAGCGGTGAGGGAAGGCACTTTTGGAGAAGCTACTTCTCTTGCCCTGGGAAGGAAGCTGCAGCTCATGGAGACCCAATCTAGCCCCCTATCTTGTTCCCTCCCTGCCACCAGACCCCACCCTTGGACCTGTCTATGCCCTTCAACCTGGCTAGCTGGCATGTGTTCTGTAGGCTGTTTGCATAGGGTTGCACCCCTGGGGGTAGAAGGGTCACACACCTGGGGGCAGGGGGGGAGTTGGCTTGGTGCCAGAACCGGCCCCTGGACAGTAGAGTTCAGGGAATGGAAAGTTTGTCCACGCAAAACAGGATGGTGTGGGAGGGGACACTGCATCCTGGGATGCTAGAGGACTGCAACTTGGGCAGCTCTCTGTGGGGAGTGGCCACATATTAATGGAACTCAAGTCAGGTAACACAGATCAGAGATAAACCTGTCCTGGAGTGGTGTAACTTTAAGCCACTTAAAGTGTGCTTAAAATTAGTTTCAGGTGTTAATGTGTGGACAATCCAGGGGTTAAGAGCTCCAGGAGCCACCTAAAATAAATGTGTAACAAGCTCCCTACTGACAAGCTGGCAGTTCTGTTTCAGATCTTTTCTATCCCATCTTTTCTTTGTGCTATATCCAGAGGCTGGTGAAACACCAAAACACTGTACATACCTTAGTGCTCCCTGGTGCTCAGCAGGTGATGGTCTCCAGGAGAAGGCAGAACCTGCAACCTCAGCTTATCAGCAAAAAAGAGTGGATGGGAGTGGACCCAAAACAAAGGGACTTTGTGTGAACAGGGGAAAGATGGGAAAGGACAGGCAGGAGCCTCTAATTTAACAAGCCATAGGACGAGGATATAATTAATCTCACTCTACATAACTGGGATGCTGTTAATCAGGGTATTTGCAAGGAACCAAATTAAACATCATGATGATAGTTAATGGCATGGCCTGTAGCATAATTGCCATGCTAATTGCATTTGACTGAGCTACAGGGAGGTGATTAAATGGTTCTCACATAGGGCTATCTGGCCTTTGTAGTGATCAGAAGATGATGGTGCTTTGTCTGTCATCTAAAGACCTCTTCCAGTGCTGCTTCAGCAGAGATGAGCTGCTGTATCACCCAGGCTATGTCAAGTTCACTTTCTGCAGGCTGGCAGCACACTGCAACGTCTCGGAAACCTGGCATTATTTTTCTGCGGTTCAAAACCATTTCAGCTCAAACGGGCAGGAAAAATAATCAGGTTGAGCTTTTTTATCAGTGTCAGTCCTGACCTTGCTCCAACCCATTAGTGAGCCAAAACCAGTGAAGTAAAGTCATTGGAGAACCATTTCAGGTACAGCATGATGAATTCTGTTAATCAGGAATTCCACTTAATTGGGACAAAAGGCCATCTAGCAGGGCACCCTGATTAACAGACTCTGCTGTACCAGAATATGTGAACAGAATACTAACCTATAGCTAGTCTGGGGACCAGATTACTATGTGGATCTCCAATTGGCAGCTGGATGCCAGGCGCTCCCAGTATGGTCGTAGAAAGCTGGCCCTTTATCATTGGATGAGATGGCAGAGGGGTCAGTCTGGACCACCCATCATTAACCATGCAGATAGGAACACCATTCAAACCTAGATAGGAAAAGGGAAAGAGGGGAAAAGCAGCAAGTAATTCAGTGGAAGAAGCACACAAAAAATAAGCATTAGCACCTTATATAACACATGCAACATCAAAGTTACATCCTGTCTGAATGATAAATCAGTAGCTGCATGGTTTCTGCTGTACCATGCATGTCTAAATCTTCTCTCCTCCTATAGTACAGAATGAGTCCTTGAAACCTCTATTTTTTAGATAGATTCTATACGTACAATGAGAGCATAAACAGTTTGGATTAATTAGGATACAGCCTCTATTTTCTTTAACAGGAAGAATGACATTGGATAAATTCCCCAGGAGTTTATTTGGGAAACACAGAGCTAACAGTAGTGTAATCAGCTGCTGCATCATCTGCATATAGAAAATAGGTTCTGGGATTGAATGTAGACACACGTGGGATTAACTTTAGGAGTCCCAGATCACCACCACCATTGCTAAGAAGAATCACCAGAGTGACACTTTCAGGAAATGTTGCACAATAAGACTTGTGCTGCTTTCCCTTATACCCCGTGCCCTATCACCAGACCTGGGATGGAGCATTAGATAAATTCCTTTGTTCCTGCATGTCCCATTCAACCTTTATGCTTCACATCAATAGTACCTTCAACTCCTCCTTCTTTGCCATAGTACTAAATTCCTACCTTGGATGTGAGTCACCCGATGAGGGTGGGGATTGTGTCGTGAAAAGAAGGAATGGTGGCTAAAGCTGCCAAAGCGAGAGGTGCTCTTTGACTGAGGTCTCAGGGCCTCCACACTAAACATTAGTGGTGTGTTCAGAGTCATGTGTTCAAGTTTCCCTGAGACTCCTGTGATATCTATTCCTCTGAATGGGGCAACGACTGGGCTCTTTGACATCTCCATCTTCTTTGGAGCTGATGTTCTCTTGGTACTTGTAGAAGAAGAAAAGTTAATCACCCATTAGCACATGATCACATTTTATGAAAACATCTTTACCTTGAGCATCACTTGGATTCATGGAAGGTGAAATTGGAGTCCAGATAGATGCAGGAGTCCAGTTGGGGTTATTTTCTTCTTGAGGCTGTCCCTCCAAAATCTATTCAAAACGAGCAGGAGATCCTGGGTCACTTATTCTTTTCCTCTGTATACCAAGGGCTTGAACCAAATGGAGGGAATCCTCTCCCTCATTGACACCAAAGTAAACTTTGTAAGTGTCTTGGATCTGAAATTCTCACACAGCTGAAATGCATGAAATGCTCAAGGCAAGTAGACAGAGAAAATGAATTTGAACCAAATACCTAAATGAAGAAAACTCAGTAGCAATGTTTGTGTGTGTGTGTTTGTGAATGCATGTGTGCAGCATAGGTTTGTTCAGTATTTATAGGAACGTTTTGTTTCTATTTGTAAGGCAGCCAGAGTTCATGTGAGCTTGGACGCTGAGATGCAAGCCCATGCAGACTCCTACGTATTTGCTGAAATGCAGAAAGAAGCAGCTTTCTGAGGAAATCCCCAGGAAAACAACCGGCTGCCTGCTCCAGTTGACAATTCGGAGTGATGACTCAGGGTCATGGTTTTCTGGTCAGGCAGTTGCTGAGACAGACACAGTACAACTTCCCTCCAATACTAAACTCATATTCTGAAGGCTGACAAACACCTCAGAGGATTTTTAACTGGTATTTTCCTATCAGCATAGGTGCTGAGATCAGGAGCCTTTTGAAGCATCCTTATATTTAATTGGTGCCTTAGCTAGCATTTCTTTGAGGTGTTTGGCTCAATGCCTTGCAGGAAACCATGGAAAAAAGTAGGATCTGATTTTTCCTCATGTTCATCTGAACACAGCTCTGACCATTCAAAACTTTCCGCTCTCTTCAATCTCCCCTACAGCACCCCAAAACTTGGGTGACAGTGCTCTCTACTGGCATGTTTTCTGGTACTTCACCATGTTTTCCGGTCTTTGCTGTGGCAGGTTAGTGATATTCAGGAAAGGTTTTTTTGGGGACTGACTGGTAAATCCTTCAAGTGCTGGGTAGAGCACACTGGACAGAGAATTTTCCATGAACATTTGATCATATTTTTGCACATTTTTTTTCAATTTGAACGTTCAGAGCCCTTCCACGTTTGCTTTACATGAATGCAAATGTGGAAGGTCTGTATAAGGGGTGTGTTTTTCAGACAGTGAATCTGAACTCATATCTATGAGCAGTACGCATCAGAAGCTCGATTCTAAGTATCATATTCATCTAATCAGGTAATATAAAAACATTTTGCGTTCTATGTATTGGATCCAAGGTATGAGGGAAAAGGGGGTTTAGAGCCACTTTTGCCTTTCTCTGATCCTAGGAATATCCGGTGAACAGGTTATCGCCTGTAGCAAAAGTGTCCCATTGGCAGCCTGTAGGCCTCATGAGGCCCATAAAGGCCCCCAGGGTCCTGCCTGGCTGTTGCTCCCCCTGTCATCCTGGCCACAGCAGCAGCTGGAGTCTTCAGGCTCCCCTCCCTCCTCTAGCTTACACTTCTTGACCCCTTCCCATGGTGGGGTGAAGCAACAGTAACTAAATAGGGTTGACCAAGTAACTAAATCCTTGGATGCTGGTGTTGCTGTGGACATGGTCTTTCTAGACTTTAAGAAGGCCTTTGACACTGTCTCTCACCGCATCCTCATCAACAAATTAAGCGACTGTGGCATTGATGCCTACACAGTTGGATGGGTAAAAAGTTGGCTGGTGGAGCACACCCCAGTAGCGGTGGACGAGTTGTACTCAACCTAGCGAGATGTGAGCAGTGGGGTACCCCAGGGCTCGATCCTCGGGCCCGCACTGTTTAACATCTTCATCAGCGACTTGGATGAGGGGGGGGAAAGCACGCTGTCCAAGTTTGCTGATGACACTAAGATGTGGGGCGAGGTGGACACAATTGAAGGGAGAGAGAGGCTGCAAATAGATTTAGACAGACTACAAAAGTGGGCAGACGAGAATAGGATGGGGTTCAATGTAGACAAATGCAGGGTGCTGCACCTTGGGAGAAGGAATCCACAGCGTACATACAGGCTGGGGAGTTTCCCTCTTGAAAGCGCAGAGGCGGAAAGGGATCTTGGAGTCATTATTGACTCCAAGATGAACATGAGCCACCAATGCCAGACCGCAGCCAGCAAGGCCAGCCATACCTTGTCATGCATCCAAAGGTGCATCTCAAGCCGGTCCAGAGAGGTGATCCTCCCCCTCTATGCGACTTTGGTCAGGCCGCAGTTGGAGTACTGTGTCCAGTACTGGGCACCGCACTTCAAAAGGGATGTGGCCAGCCTGGAGAGGGTTCAGAGGAGGGCCGCCCGCTTGGTGAGAGGGCAGCAGGACAGGCCCTATGAGGAGAGACTGAGGGCCCCAAACCTGTTCAGCCTCAGCAAGAGGAGGCTGAGGGGGGACCCAGTGGCTGCCTACAAACTCATCAGGGGAGATCAACAACAAATAGGTTTCTCCCCAGTACCACCCAGCACAAGGAACAATGGTAATAAGCTGATGGAGAATAGGTTTAGGTTAGAGATCAGAAGGCAATATTTTACAGCTTCCCAGGGAAGTGGTCCTCGCCCCTACCTTGGGCAAATTCAAGAGGAGGTTGGACAATCTCCTGTCTGGGGTCTTGTGAACCCAGCATTCATTCCTGCCTGTGGCAGGGGGTCGGGCTGGATGATCTGTTCAGGTCCCTCTTGACCCTAGCTACTATGAAACTATGAAACAGCTCAGGGAGTTGTGGCTGCTCAGGTGCATGGCACAGCAGTGAGGGAGGGAGGTTGGAATGGGTATACGATGGAGATGGGGGGGCATGGGCGCACGGTGCAATGGAGGGGGTTCCTGCATAGTGCGTGGTGGGGAGGGGGCACACAGTGTGTAGCCTGGGGGCCTGTGGTTCACTCTGGTGCAGCTTGCATGTGTATGGCCCCCTGCTGGGGCAGCCCCTTGGATCACTCAGCCCCCAGCTGCTTAGAAGTTGGACACAGCTCTAACTTGGTGTAAGTGTAACAAGAGCTGGAAGTCTTCTATAACTTATACCATTCCCTACATAGTTATTCTGCTATTTGAGGATTAACCCACTATTTCTATGTGATGTGCTTTCTATGCTTGAAGGGATCAAGAAGGGTTTGGCCACTTTTCATGTGACAGCTCTGGTGCTATGACAGCCAGTAATTCCTCTACACAAGGAGAAACCCAAGATTTCCTGTGAGGGAAGCTTTTTGCTTCTTTTGTGTCAAGGCTATGCAGAAGGGCAAGACCAAGTATAAAGAACCTAACTCTATGTATCCAGTCATAACAGCTCACATTCAAACTACTGAAAATGTACAAGCTGCTTACAAACAAGCTACAGATGAGGGCTTACCATCAGAAATGAGTCAGTGAATGATTTTACATAGCAGGTATATTTGAGAAAAGTGTTGTATTTTTGTGAACAAACTGGGAACCAAAATCAAGGTGAAATTCATTATGAATGGTTCATCATGAATTATTCACCCAGCCTTCATCCTGGGAATGGCTGCCTCCTCCAGAGTTATTCATCTACAGTTTCAAAATGAGAGTCCAAATCATACTTTTTAATGGCATGTCACTTGGAGCACAAAGCTATTAGAACACCATGAGATTTAAGCTGTGATTATGGCACCACACAGGAAACCTGGTGTGTGCAACTTTATTAGCTAAAAAGCTAACACTTTAAATGCCAGGCAAAGCATTTTTCTTGTCAGGCTAATGGAGATGGGCCCAGCATGGATATTTCAATGTCAGAAATGCGACACCCACCAACCCTCCTCCCTTTTGCTATTACTAGTCAGCAAGTCCAGGAATTCAGCTATTCCTGATTGCAAGAGTTCCATTATCTGCTTTCCCACTTGCTCACTCGTGGCATTACTTCCCAGATGTTTCTTCTAAGGACATGGAATACAGCTTTGGTACTTACTCTAGCTGCTGAAGATTGGGTTCCAAATTTTTCAGCTCATTTGCCATTTTAGTGATTCTGTGACAATACAGAAAAATTGATCATTATTACAGCATTTCTAGCTTCAGAGTCCACACAGGTATGTACACAACTAGATTCACATCTATCTACAGTATGCAGGTCTGGAGATACTACTGTGGAGAGAAAGGTACCTTGCTATAAAAACATTCAGCTTCTCAAGCTCTTCAGTTCACTTAGATGACTGTTTGCAGAGTTGTGGGTAAGCACTCAACTCAAACCACTTGTCTCTGTGAGCTTATTTCCTCTCTGTGAAGTGAAGACAATACTTCCCTACTTCAGGGAGCTGTTGTGCGGCTCAGTGAAGGTTTATAAAAAACTATATTACTGTGAGGTTTTACTACAACAAGATGTACTGTCAGACCCTCCCAAAATAGCTCTTATGTGCAGGAAAGCACACGTGCCCTCACAGGGCTTTGGAGGGAAGGAATGGATAGCCAGTGAAAAACATGCATGTGGCAGTGGTCACCTTGGACCAGAGGTAGGCAACCTTTGTTGGCTGTGGGCCAGAATGACCCACCCTGGGTCAGGGGCTTGGGCTGGGCACTAGGACCCTGCCACTACCACCACTTGTCTCTGGACTAGCACAGGGTAAGTGCCTGCAGCCAGCACATCTCCCCATGGTGGCATGTGGAGAGTGCCCACAGAAGGTGCCCCCCACAGCCGAATGCTGCAGAAGCCCCATGTCTATTCACATGGGAATATGTGAATAAGAACTAAACTATTAACTGTATGTGAACCATTAGGCATTAGACGTAGTGTCACTGGGCATGAACTGTGATGGCGACGCTACTGCACAGCAGCAATGAGCTATTGCGTAGTAGCTTGTTGCTACTGCTCAGTAGCAGCTAAAAATAACTGTGCAACGATGGGATTGTGCAGTAACGCCAGTTACTGCACAGTCGGCTGCTCATGTAGATGCGCCCAGTGAGTCTTTTAGGAAGTTTTACTTTCCTTCTGGACCACTGAAATATCAGAATCAGTTTCTGATCTGTCTTTGGTGGGAAGCTTTTTCTTCAGGTCTTGATTCACGTGAGTCCTTATACTGAGATCCAGTTGACTTGTACTTTTGCCATCTGTGCTTCTACACATAGTACAAAGTTCATTATCTACAGACTGCTGAGGCTGATTTCCTATTTCTGCACAACAGTATTTGCATTTGTGTCTGTAGGTCCATTTCTTCCCATAAGAACATGGTTGCTTCTTGTGTTCTGAAACAACTGGTTTCTTTCTTTGGGCTGTGATCATCAAGAGAATCATCAAGAAGCGTGAATGTTGTGTCTTCTTGTACTACAAGTGCTCACTTAACTAGATTCAGTTTCTTACAAGCTGCCAGGCCTAAAACTGGTGTCACCTCCTAAAGTACCATAATGAACAGGAGTTTGTATACTTTACTTTTATATTGGATGCTAGCAATGCATCTCCCCTGCACTGGTATATTTGTTCCAAAATAGACAATTGTTTTGATGTTTGTTGAATTCACTTTTGTTTTCAATTTTAATTTTCTATATTCATGCTCTGATAAAATATTAACGTGAGCTCCTGTGTGACCATTTTAAATAAAACCGTTGTTTCTTGCACATCCACTGGCAAAGTCCAGTCTATGTCATTGATTTAGCTCGATTCTACCATATCTATATGAAATTCTTCTGGTATGCTTCAACTGTATGCACTTGAGATATTTGTGCTTGGGATCTGCAGCACCTGTCAGAATGGTTCCTCCTGTTACAGTTAAAACAAAGCTTTCCAAAGGCAGCACAATGTTTGGGGCCATTTTGCTTTCCACATTTGGTACACATATGCTTTTCTGCTCTCTCTCCCTTGCTGCTCGCAATTCCACTCTGTGAGGTGGCTTCTTACCAGTGGAAAATTCCACCTTCCGGGGTGGGTTTTATGTCCATATTCTTTCATGCCTACTGCATGGATGGCCCCTTTTGGTGTATTCAACTCTGCAGCCTGGGTCTTGACAGTTTCTTCTGCCCTGCACATTTGGACAGTCTTTTCTAGGGACAAATCTCCCTCTTGTAATAGCCTTTTTTGTAATGTATTGTCTGCAATACCATGAATAATTGTAATGTATTGTCTGCAATACCATGAATAATTCTATCTCTAATCAGAGATTCTGTCAAGTTCTGAAAAGCACAGTGTATGGAAGGGGGCTGTTCCTACTACACTTCTGCAGAACCCCCACTGTACATGTAACTGTGATACCCAAAAGCCTGGGTAGGTCTATCCCAATCATGCAATTGGTCCAATAAAAGGTATCACCCACAAAAATTATTCTCTCTTGCATGTTTCCTGGACCATTGTGGCTACAACATCACTACAATACTATAAAAACACGTAAATATAGCACTTTAAAAAGTCCATCCAGCTCTCACCAGCCATCAAGCAGAAGACACCTAAACAATTCACAAACAGAAAGGTAACTAAAATACAATAAATCCACTGAAAAATATTAATTTTCCCCGAAACTTGAGGGATGTGCCCTCCCCTTGTAAAATAAGTTTGGGTCAGTTTCCTAGTGTGATATAGCTACACCAACGGTTTCAGAGTATAAGCCAATTTTTTGTAGAAATAGGTCACTTCCCAGCTATGGTGCACAGGATTGGAACATGGTATATTTTCTCTAAATAACTTAATCTTTCATTTCTATAAATCAGTGTAAAACTCCTGTTTCCCTTAAAAAATGTTTAACACAGATAGGAAAACTCTGTTAGTTCCCCTAAAAGGACAGGTCCTGTAGCTAAACCACTGGGCTGTGCTTGCAAGGAAACTAGCTTCAAATCCCAGCTGTCTCATAGATGTCCCCTGTAACCTTGGGAAAATCTGTCCGTGCCTTCATTTTTCCATTTCAAGTGAGGATACGAATATTGCAAGAGGGAAGGATTTTTGTGGGAGATATATTTTATTGGACCAATTGAATAGTTGGGAGGGACACAGACAAGCTTTCAGGTACCACCTTTCCTCAGGTACATTCTCCATTTTTTCACCTTTTATCTTTGTATAGACCAGAGGTTTCCAAACTTTTTCTTATTATGTATCCTCTTCCAGATTTACCAGCTGCCCACATACCCCTACCAGTGTGTTTTTGTATTTTAACCCCTTAAATGCCAAGTATTATTATAATGAAAATGAAATCTGCCATTACACAATTTCTCCTACGTACCACCCAGAAATATCTTGCATAACCTCATGGGTACATGTACCACAGTTTAGAAATCTCTGTTATAGACTATAGTCTATTCTGAGTGGGGACTGTTTCCTCCTATGTTGATATGCAGTAGGGCTGTGTGAAATTTCACCAGCTGTTTTGTTCCAACATTGTTTCAACCAATTTCAAGGTCAAAACAGCAAAATTGGAACAAAACAAAGCCAGTTGAAATAGCCTCAAAACAAAACAAGCCTGGTCAAAATGTTTCAAAAGTCAAAATGTTTTGACCATAAGGTGGGGATGGGAAATCAGTCCAGCTGGTCTGATTTCCAATCCCCAGTGCAAGATTCGGCATCCCCATCCACTTGATTGCACCGGGGGTGGGAGGCAGCCCATCTAGGCTGCTTCCTGGGGCCCTGTGCTTGATTATGCCGGGGCTGGGTGGCAGCCCAGCTGGGCTGCTTCCTGCCCCCGGCGTGATCAAGTGCGGGGCCCCGGAAGCAACCCAGCTGGGCTGCCATCCACCCACAGCGGAATCAAGCGCGGGGCCCTAGGAAGCAGCTTGGCTGGGCTGCCTCCCGCCCCAGTGCAATGTAGCCCTGGGGATGGCAAGTCAGCCCAGCTGGTCTGACTTCCCATCCCCAGAGAAACTTGAAACAGCATCAAAACAGCCTTGCTGTTTCAACTTAAAGTGAAATTTGAGATGAAACACTGTTCCCTCAAACCGTCAAAACTCAAGGTGAAATGGAATAGTTGCTGTTTGGCACAGCCCTAATATGCAGCACCTAGCATGGGGGTGAGGATTAAGATAATATTGCAATACAAATAAATAACAGCTCTATAGACTACTAATCAGATACATAAATTCAGAGCCCAGAGACTATGCAGAGGTACCTTCCCCACAGAACTGAGACTTTACTAGAAACTAGTCTGATCCTGCAAGGTGCTAAACACCATTAACTTCTACTCAAGGTCAGAGCCTTTGAATACCTCAAAAACATAGGTACTACACAATAAAAGAAAAAATAGTAATGACTGAGGGAATGAGGGGTGCAGATACTAAAAACTGCTTGACTATAAAAATGACAGCAATAAAAGACAGACATTGGGAATCAAGGAACTGGCCATCCTCCATACCATTTTATTTATGATTCACACTTGTTTTCAGAGTGGCCTAATATAACTTTTTAATGCATATTTGTGTCAGTCAAGTCTAAGACCTAGAAATTGTTTCCCCATCTCCTACATCTTACAGGGCTGCTTCTTGAAATGGCAAATCTGGAGTGTAGGTATTTGAACAAAAGAAAGCAGTAACGACTAGAAATGTATCTGTTATTAAATATGCATAAAGGACCTACTCACCATGTGCCCTGCTAGCAGACACTAGGCAATGAGCCCCCTTTGCCCCTGCAATCTGGAGGGAGACTTGCAAAGATACTTCACTTCTGTTATAAAACCTGTTTACTTTGTGCCTTTTTTGTGTCAAGGTTGCTAGGTTACACTTTTTGTGACAACAGTAAAACTCCCCCTCCCCTTCCTTCTTCCAGTTTTTCCATTTTCCCTCTTTGACACCTCCCCAACAGGCTGTCAAATAATCTCCTTGGTTTTTTTTTTCCGTGCCAGTCTCCATTTCAACTGCTCTCCATAGTTACTTCTCAAGGCTTTCAATATGTAAGTAAGATCAACCTGGGTGTGTCAAAGTGGCAAAAGAAAATTACAGTACTCTGTGATAAAACCTAAGGAAGACTAGACCCTAAACAGGCTACATATGCCTCTTTTAGGCCAGATAACCTTGAGAAAGATCTATACAACTTTAATTTCTACTGGGATTTGTTATTCTGTTTCTTTGTTTCTCTCTTGAGTGCAGTAGCATACCTAGTACTTCACTTCTACAGAGACAAAATTTGCTTCTTGAGGCCAGGAACAATTTAAAACTATTCCCTTGCTAATTTAAAAACACTATGGGCATGTGAGCGGGAATGTGCATTCCCCATGGATAACCAGCAGTGGTACATATTTGTGCTGCTGCTGCTAGTTGTTTCTGGGGAATGCCTCTGCATGCCCATGGTGGTGAATGGCAAGTTGCCCTAGGTGGGGTAGGGGATACTGGTACCAGCACCTGCACTGGACCCAGCAGCCTTAGCTGTAGTTCTGAGGGCTTTCTGGGGCTCCAGCAGTGATGATCCTGCTGCATGGAGCCTGGCCAGCAACTGGAGCATGGCTGTGGCTAGCCATGCTCCGGTTTTGGGTCATGCACACTGTTGCCTTGTGAGCTGTCCCACTTATTTCTGGTGTGGTTTTTTTGACACTGGGATCTCCCAGTGTCCAAAAACCTGCTGAGCTACAAATTAGCTGTGCAGCGAACACCTGCATGTGTGGTGTGGGTGGTTTATGGCTCCGCAGACAGGTCTGTGGGGCTGCAAACCGCACGTACGTGCTTGTCTGGATGTGTCCTAGGGATGCAAAGTGTGAGACAATTTCTCTGTGTACTTTCTCTGAAATTATTAATTTAGACACTTGGCAAACAAACAGGGAGACAGATATTTAAACAAATGAAACACATGCTACACTAGACAGCTGTCACCACTGAGAAGTATATAAGCTCAACCACAGAGTAGGCACACGGTATATGTGCTAGGGCTGTACGAGGTTTTGGACCGTGCTTTGGAACCAGAGAAGCTTTGGATGCTTTGGTGTCTGAAGCAGCACGTCCAGATCGAAGCGCTGGCTTTGTTAGGCTTTCTGAAGTGGTTTGGAGCTTCCGAAGAGCTTCAGAAAAGTTTTGGAGCCGCTTCGGAGATCCGGCCATAGGGTATAATGGAGAATCAATGAAATATCTATAACTTTGTTGTTTTTTTGTCTGATTTGGATGAACTTTGCAGGGGTGGTAGCCTCTGCTGAGATCACGAAGTCTGCCAAGTTTTAAGAAGATAGATGCAGGAGTTTGGGGGGAACTGTACCCCAAATTCTTGAAAGAAAACTCATGTCACGTCTATGTGTACAACAGTCAAAACTGCAGGGATGGTAGCCCCTGGTGAGACCACAAAGATGGCCAAGTTTCAAGAAGATAGGTGCAGGGGTTTGGGGGAAACTTTACCTCAAGCTGCTGACAGGCAAAACTCGTGACGTAGATGACCCTCTGTGTGTTAAACCACAATGGGCTGAAAACTGCAGGGTTGGTGGCCCCTGCTGAGGCCACCAAGGAGATATCAAGGAGATAAGTGCAGCGGTTTGGGGGAAACTGCACCTCAAGCTGTGGACAAGCAAAACTCGTGACATTGGTGACAGTGTGTGTGTTAAGGCGCAGCAGGATGAAAGCTGCAGGGATGGTAGCCTCTTCTGCGGCCATGAAGCTTGCCAGCTGTCAAGGAGATAGGTGCAGGGCTTCTGGGTTCTGGGGTCCTGCACCTCTAGCTGCTGACAGACAAAACTCGTGACATGGGTGCTTGTGCAACTGTGTCTGTCTTGGGGCGGGGAACTTCTGCAGGCTGCTAAGCTACTGTGTTACCAGTTACCAATCAATCATGATTCACTCAGGGACCAGCTCAATACACAGTTGCTAGCTAATGTAACCAGTTAATTAACAACAATTAACACCTACAAAACCACAGACTGTATTGATTATTTCCTCTCCTTAGTCTGTGGTTTTGTAGGTGTTAATTGCAGCAGTTGCACAAGCACCCATGGCATGAGTTTTGTCTGTCAGCTGATAGAGGTGCAGGGCCCCAGAACCCAGAAAGCCTTGCACCTATCTCCTCTACAGCTGGCAGGCTTCGTGGCCTCAGCAGGGGCCACTACCCCTGCAGTTTTCAGCCCACTGCACCTTAACACACACAGGGTCATCTATATCATGAGTTTTGCCTGTCAGCAGCTTGAGGTGCAGTTCCCCTCAAGCCTTGTAAGTTACCTTGACTAACATTTTAATGACTGAGAGAACAGGATTCTTAGGCAGAAAGAAAGAAATATTTGGCAAAAATTGCTATAGAAGGACACCACAAGAAAGAATAAGGGTGAGTTAGAATCATTGGTGATGTGTAGGGGGTGCACGTGCACCCCCTGAACATGGCAGTGCACCCCCTATGAAAAGGCATTGCCGATACTGCCAGTGGTATCTGCGGGCAGTCCATGATTGCCCTGGCCACCGCTGCCGCTACTGGCAGCATCTGCAGGGGGTCACCGACCACCAGTTGGCGCTGGTCACCCCTTCCCCACCCCACCACTAACAGCACCACAGCTGCCTGCAGGAGCTCCCCACTTACTGCCGCCATGCTCCCACAGCTGCCAGCACTGCCACTGCCTGCTGGAGCTCGCCATGCCCCCCAGCTTCTGGGGGCACGCGGGGTTCATGGTTAGAATCATAGAAAAGTAGGGTTGGAAGGGACCTTGGGAGGCCATGTAGTCCAACCTCCTGCTCAAAGCAGGACCATCCCCAACTATATCATCCCAGCCAAGGCTTTATCTATATATTCATAGCTTTGTATATGGAATCATAAGCAGGTTGCTGGATTTCAATAGCAAGAATCTGGGCTGAAATTTGTATGAAACAACCGTCTTGATAAGATAGAACTTTACCTTTTCTAAGAAGATAAATTTCATTTTTCTTTCACACATTAGCCAAAGTGGACTGAAGATTGCAGAGAGACAGATGGATACACTCTGCTATTATAGTGACAGTTACACAAGCAAGGATAAGTTGTATATCAACTACCAACCTTTGTGCTTCAATGCACAAGCTGATCACCAGTTGCAGTGAGGAAACTACCTCCCCAATGACCTGACAAACATAACCTTTCACACATATAGGTATTTTCATCTTCTCCTGCAGCATTCAGTAGAGGCTCATATCAAGGAAAGGACACTGAATTAGATAGAACATTGTTATTACTTGGGGTTGCAGTATGTTTCTGTGGCCAAATGATTTGCTCATAGTAAGAGTACAGTATGTACTGGCATGAATCTATTTGTATGCTGCATCAGAATTAAGGTCTACCAGTTTTAAACTTAAACTCATTAATACACCAGATGTTACAGATCTTTAGGTATGTATTGCAGACTGGTATTTTAACAGGCATGGTTGTTGCTTTTGAATCATGTTCCCTTGCAAATGAGAGGGGTCTTTCCCACTAGCACTTCTGAATGGCATCTTCCCCTTTAGTTGCCACAAATACCAGACTACAGTCATAGTACTAAGGGGGCTTTGTTTCATTCATCAGCCTGAGAAACATTCAAGGCTGTTATGTTTTTTCCAGTTTTGTATACTTTTCTTATTAATACTCTTACCAGTAATAAAATAGGCAAAATATTCTGGCACATTTTAAGTGTTCTGCTTTGATGAAGAGGATAGGGAAGGATTTGGTTTTTGTTTATAAACTGCTGAGTGCATTCTTTTGAACCTCTGAAGGGCTTCACCAGACAAGACATTTGCTCCTTTTATAGGATCATTTAAAAAAATATTAGTTAAAGTAGCAGTCAAATTTTAGTAGCCTAGTGAATGGGATGGATTGCAGCACCAGCCAGTATTTCTTCTCCAGGGAAGAAGTTCTTTAGAAAGGCCAATACCTGTAGGAGAAAATAATTAATGAGCACCTGAAGGCAGTCCAGCCTGGAAGAAGCTACAAGGTTCTGTGCTCAGTGGCAGTTGTAAACTATAGAGATCACATTTGAATCCATCTGAAGTTCCCTATTGTGATAGGGGGTGTGCGGGCCGGGCACGATCCGGGCCCGTTTTGTGCTCTGTGTGGGCTGTGGCCAGCAGCCCGGGCACGCGGGGTTGGAGAGAACGGGCGACACGCTAGAATTAGGCACGGACTTGTAATGGTAGATTTAAAGATTGTTTACTTACACCGAAGACGATTGCGGTGCAGGCTGGAAAACTTGCTTGAGTTGTGGTTACAGACAAAACAACGTGAACAACCACGTGGAGTTTGCTAGGTTCCACGGAAACAGAGCTCCGGATGCCCTGGACAAGCACGCCACCGAAATAGAAACTTCGTAGATACGTCTTATAAAATTATCGCTTGAAGACGGGAAGAGGTGGGCGATGGATCAGGTCGCCAAACTCCTCTGAATCTCACCCAGGGTCTCTATTACCCTGCTGTGTACCCAGAGTCCCCACGAGATGGATGTGGAGTCCTCTTTGGCTTGGGCAGAAACCGCTCAAGCCTCTTATACGGCTAACAGGCCAATCGTTAGCCGCCATGTGGGAATAATTTAGAACTAGCCAATAGCAGGGAACAAATTTGCATGCGGGTGGCGGGAACTCCTTTGCACCGTGCATTTCTCTTGCAACTTGAGCAATGCACCCTGCAAATAAAGCTACAAATTGGCGGGAAATTCTCCCTTGCACCGGGGTTCTCCTCTGCAGCAGAAAACTCCACCGTGCAACGAAGCTGTAATTTAGAGGGAATAATTCTAGTGCCGAAGCACACACAAAATCATACCTTTGGGT